CATTATTAAAATGTCCATACAACACTATCTATAGATTCAGTGTAATCTCTATCAAGGTTCTGAATTTTTTTCACAGGGAAAATATAATGTTGAAATTTCAATGGCACCACAAAAGACGTTGACGAGCCCAAGAAATCCTGAGGAAGAATAATAAAGCTGAAGGAATCATTTCTTAATTTCAAACTATAACACAAAGCTACAGTAATCAAAACAGTAAGATACTAGCATAAACACCTAGAACAACAAAAAAGAAGTAAGACTCCAAAAATGAATCCTTGTCTATACTGTCAACTCATATTTAAGAGTTGGGGCACACTAATTTTTTAGTATTCTGATACGCATAACATGTTTCAACAAGATAAAATTCATATGTTCAAAGAATCTAAATAAGTCCAAAGAATTCTATTATTTTTTCAATATGTCCAAAGAATATAAATATTTTCCACATCCCAGCCCCGTCTAACTATGAAATCACATAAGTGAAAGTTGACTGAAATCTAACATTGATTTCAAAAAAAAGATATCTTAATTTTAAAAAGATGTGTTTCTTAAATGTAAAATAAAAGTAGGGAAAAAAAGGAACCCACATTTGTAAAACTGGATCTCCAACTTTTTTTTAAATTATTTTTCTAAAAAAATATATATTTTTCTGATTGAAGAAGTATATGCCCATAACAGAAAATTTGGAGAACACTGAATTTCCTAGATTCTAATACATAAGACAGTTTTACAGTTTTAAGGCTTTATATACAAGTGTATTTTTTTTAATAACTTCCACTCTTCTTTCTTACACATCATCCCCTGAAAAGCAGAGAAGGCAGCTCCTTCGAGGATCTAGCCTTTGGTGTCCACCACACCACTCCATACACTGTGGGCTTTCTCCTTGTTAAGTTGCACCTGCTCCCTTGCTTGCTTCCCATATTTCTATATAAATGCAGAACCCAGTCCAAAATACTGCCAAGAGTGCTAAGAAAACTCCTAGTGCTCAGCCTTAACAGGAGAATTTGCAGAGTCAACTTCCACCTGCCGTAACTTCAAAGCCAGGATTCTCCCCAGTGACACCCTAAAGTTTTATCTCAGCTGATGAACATTTTAAGCACTAGCTAATACCTCTTAAAATCCATATGGCATTTTAAAGTCTAAATCTCCCATACAATAAAATCTCCTGTACATTTAATGTTGACAAGATCCCTCCAAAGTAGACTTGAGCAGGTATTCTATTTAATGGGAAAGTTAACAAAGGTACAGAGAACTGAAAAAATGAAGTAAATGAAGCCTAAAATCTGGAAGGCATAAACTGACTCCAACCAAGTTGAGAGTTCTTTACCTATCCATTATTAACCTACCATTTTCAAGTCTGACAACTACTCAAGAGCCAGAAGGTTCAATAAATAATCTAACGTGGTCCCTTAGTATTCATTTATAATTAAAATAAGGGCCAGAGAAGCTAAAGTGGATTGCTTCATCAGCTGTTCTGGATGAAGAAGATCTAAAGACACAATCTTCGATGTCTTCCACTTAGCCACAAGTTAACCAGAAACTGAAGTCCTAAAAGTGTAGAATATCAGAACCAGAGGGACTCAAACAGTCTGCTGGACTATAGCAAAGGCGACAGCAGTGGTCAAAGGACAGTGCCAAGGTAGAGGACAGGTCACTGTCTACTGGGTCTCACCTATGTGCACATCTGCAAGACCACTCAAGTTCAGGAAACAACAATAATGGGATTTATTTAGCAAATGGGAAACAAAGAGTTTCTGAGGCTATTGAGTGCCAGCTATCTCACCCCAGATAATGCTCAGAATTCTCAAACAGAAGGCCACTTGTACAAGATAGCAGAGTCTCGTCAACAAGAGCCTGAAGCTCATGGCACACTGACAGCAGTAGGCTGGGATCCCAGTGGAGTTGCTCACAGTGTGAAGTGGCTGCTGCGAGGATACTGCAGCAGCCAGAAGGCCAGGCTGGACATCACCGGACACTGGACCACACAGCAGTGGAGGCAACAGTACCAGGAGGCGGTGCTGGATGATCAGTAGTGGCCAGGTCTCAAACGTGACCTGGACACTGAATGACAATCCCTTGTCAACAGTGCTGGACAACACTGGCCAGTAGTACCAAACATCAAGAGATGATGCGAAGGATACCAGGTATACAGCTTTTTGCAAGCTGCTGGCCTAGTCCAACAACAAACAGCTCTTTGAGAGCTGATGATGCTCCCTTCAGGCCATGTCAGGGAAGCAGGGCAAGAGGCAGGTGTTGTGACCAGGTCTTTGTGGTCTGCTCTTTCTTTAGAGGTCAGCTGCTGATCCTTCTTCTTTCTTTAGCAGCCAGGAACAGAGTGCCTTAAGCTGGTTCCTGCCCTGCCTTTTATCCTCTTTCAGGGACCCCACCCAACAAGTCTGACTGAGTATTCTCACTGCTTAGGGACTGATTGGATTATCGTGCATCAACCGGCCCATTCTTGTTTTTCAATTAGAATAATTAACTATCTAGCTGACTGAACATGATTGGTTCATTCTGATTAGCCTAGTCTATAAACCAGGCAACAAATATAAAATGTAAACTTCGTGCCTGCATAGATCTGACCTGCCCTGACCTCAGGGCAGAGTCCTGGGCTGGTGGGCTCTGGAGAGGCACAGCCAGAACCAGCCTCAGTGGGACTGGAGGCAGGATGTTACCTGTACCCCTTCAGCGGGGCTGAGTATAACAAAATAAAGGGGTGGAGTCTGCTGGGAGCTAAATCAAGTTGGCCCAGGACGCCATGGCCTCTCTACTGAACCACGGGCCTCTCTACTAAAGTCAGGCAGGGCAGCATCGGCAAAGCAGAGAGAAATAGTTCCACATCTGCGACATCAAGGGAAAGGTAGAGCGATGTGGCAGGAGCGCCACTGCTGCCTCTTGTCACTGCCAACCACAGCCTAAGCTCCAGTGGGGCCACTAATGGGGGACAGTAAAATGCCTGCCACCTGCTGCCACTTGCACTGCTCCTAACTTTTGGAGCCAGGCACCTAAGCCCTGAAGGCAGAACTCTGGTGCTCAAACCCAGCTAGCTTGGGAACAGCCATCAAGCCCAGCCCACTGGCATGGGTCTACAAGTAGCAGTCAGGCAGTTAGAAACACCACTCTGCCACAGGAGCTTTGGTAAGGGCTCCAAGCCCAAACCTGGCTGGTGCCGAGGGTGGGGCTGCCCCCAAAAGGGGCAATTCCCAGGGAAGCTTTTAGAGTGGACATGGGGGAGCAGCAGGGCAGGAAGCCACCATTGCTGCTGCCAGCCACCATCAGGTCCAGATGGCCTGCCCAGGGCTGGGGCAAAGTCAATCATGCCCTGCCACGGGGCTCCGATTTCAGGACCCTGAAGAATATTCAGGCCAACCTGCTCACTTTACAGATGACGAATGTGAGGTCCAAAACCCACCTCTTCTGATGCTCAATTCTCTGCACATTCCACTCATCTTACTTCTTCTCTGAGAAGTAAGAAACAAATGTGGTCACAGCTGTTTACTTCCTTCCTTCCTTGACACTCAGTATGTAAGAGGTCACAGATCAGCAAAACCACAATGAAACAAAGCAAAATATGACTGCAGAATCTACTTGACTGGTAACAAATGTGCACAGCAGGACTGTACCACAAAATAAACAAGTTCTGCTGGGTTCTCCCCCATCCCTTTGGGGAGAAGGCCCCCGGAAATATGTGCCTTGGGAATGGGTACCAAGTGGCCCCGTGGAATCACCCATGTCTTTATCTGTGAAAACATAAGACCATTCATTTGCTAAGGAATAAAGGTCTCTACTCCACAAATCAGTCGAGAATCCTAATTAAAACTGTAGGTAGCAGCACCGGGGCTGGCACCATTCTTGATTCCCGACCCCTGCCCAAGGGCCCAGCCTCTCCTACCACAGGTTCTGTGAATCATCCAACTCAGCTGCCCTGACTCTTCCTGAGCAGCCCCATGGATGGTGGCAACGCTCAGCTCTCCAGTGAGAAGGCAAGCTCTTTGAGAACAGGACCACTTCTTTCGAACTCACTACAATTCAGACACTGCCTGGCAGGATAAGAGATGGTCTCTACCTTCAAGAAACTTGCAAAAGGATAAGAAAAAACATGCAAAAACAAGTGTAAACAGGGAACTAAGGAGCCTAGGGAGGACGTCAACTGCTGTGATGGGGAGCAGTGAGGAAGGTAAGCCAGCAATATTCTTTAACTGACTAGTGGGATGCGAAAGGCGAGGGGTGGGGGCGGGCAGCATCGGCAAAGCAGAAAACAGTTTCACGTCTGCGACATCAAGGGAGAGGTGGGAGTGCAGACAGGAGCGATGGGCCTGCAAGGTGACAGCAGGCAACAAGCCCGCGTAATTCGCTCTGACCTGGTGCTGGGAGGGCCGCTGACGCAACAGAGTAAACGAATTCGGGCGCCCACGGCGAGGCTAAGTGAATGACGGCGAGTGGCGGCCGCGCCAGCCCCTCCCCCGCGCACCTGTGCGCCTTCGCGGCTGCCGAGGCAAACGCGGGGCCGTCTCAACCCGCGAGCTTTCCCACGCGGGGCCGTGACACCACGGCCACCGCCGCCCGGCCCCCGCCCCGGCCCCGGGCCCGCGCTTCTCCGCTCGGGTTTAAAACGCCTGTTGACGCACCGTGGCGGGTGCCGGCGAGCTAGCCGGCGGGTTTCTAAATAGGCTGCCCCG